AAGTCTTGTGCAAGTAGGACAACACGCGCAAAGCAATCCTGGAAATTCTCCGCGGGTGTTTGCTAACCCATGAAGACATGTAGCTGACGACATGGTGGATATCGGGTCTGGTTCGCATGGCCAACCACAGCTGCTCTCCAATCAACCTTTGCCCGAAACGTAAGTCTGCCTCAGTAAAGTCCTCGGGCTCCTGGTCAACATCATCAGTGACCCACTCCTTCGGACATGGAAGCAGCGTCTGAGGGGCTTGTAGTAGATCATGTGCACGCAGCAAATCCATGATGTAGCCCGTCTGTGCGACTTCATACTCGCCAGACTCTCGCTGAAAAATCTCCATTCCAAGGTATCGTACTCCACCGGGGTCAGAGGCCCACTGTAAGTCTGAACACGGCCATTCAGCACTTACCCAATCGTGCATTGCCAGAACCAAACGCTCCGGTCCAATGTAGAAAAGGTCGTCAACGTAGGTCACCAGGAGGGCGACGAGAGTCCCTTGGCCCTCCTCCTCACCTTGATCGTTGATTGCAAACCACAGCTCTGAATCCGAAGTAGACTGCTTGAGCGTAACAAAGCCACCATTGTAGGGGATCCTCAAAGTTCGCAACCTTTCATTCCTGTGAGAAGACCATATCGCCGGGGATTCCCGTAGTCCATATAGGGGACGTAGAACCAACCAAGCCTCGGAGTCATCCGCGTAGTCGAGATCGCACAACAGTCTGGGGGGTACCACAGCATACATTGGCATATGTTCCGGCCACAAGGCCTGGAGGAAGGCCGTTGTGATGTCTGTTGTGGCCCCTTTCCATCCTAGACAGGACGTCGATGCTAGTAGCGCCCTCAGCGTATCAGCGCTGATTCCACCAGCATACAAAGACCCTTGAGCCTCAGCTGGATCCACGAAGTTGCCGCAGAGCACCATCCTGTATTTTCTCTTGAAACCACCTCCTTTCTCGCTGGGAGGCTTGATAGTGAACACTCCCTTGCTTGGCACCAGTCGGAGTTTGCCAAGTGCCTCCAAACGCTTCGCCTCAGACTTCTTGATCTTCCGAAGCGTGCCGGTCTCAAACAGGTTCTTGACCTCCTTCTGAATCGCTTGTCGCCAACGCTCCACAACCGGTCGTACTTGCTGAAGGGGCACCGTGTGAGTCACCTGAAGGTCGCCATCCAGGTTCGCAAGCAACTGCTCGTAATCTTGCTCTGGCTCACTGATCGCCGCCTTTAACACCATCATCTCATCACGAAACTGTTGGTGTCGTTGTTGTCGTTCTGTCAAAGCATTCAACATCTCCATGATTTCAGCGTGAACCTGCTTGGTACTGGCCACACAACTATACTGGGTCTGGTGCAGGTCCTGCAGCCTCTCTTCCTCCTCCTCAACCAAGTCTTGTAGTAGAGAAGAACGATCCATCATCTCGTCCAGCATTTGTTGTTGTAGCTCATTGACCTTCAGAAGCGATTGATCCATAACGCCCGCCTCCTCCTCAGGCGCCTCACCCTTCACAAAGGTCTCAAAGGCACCGTCTTCATCCAGGATATACTCCTGCTTCTTCAGCTGGATCTCTCTCTCGAACGGCATGGGTTCTCTTCCTTCAGGTAGATCAAACCCAAGCTCCCACAACTCTCGTCGATCTTCATCAGATAGGTGGTTGGTCCGAGGGGTGTAAACCATCATCACCACACGGTCGCCCTGAAAAGGTTGAGTCTCATGCCACTTTCTGGGATTGAAAGACAGCGGTGTCCCAGGTTGTAACTCAAAGGTTTTTCCTTGAACCCATCTTCCAGGAGAAACTTGTCGCCATTGATCTCCCGGAGGTCCTTCAACCCACAAACCACCTCCCTGGAAGTTGCTCAGTGCCATAACTGTGTTCTTGGTTGAAGTATCATTGTGAGAATCTCGATGGGCTCTAAGTTGAGCCCCACGGGTCACTGCAACAACTCCAAACTGTACTTCACCCATAAGTTCTTTGGCCACCTTCGCGAAGAAAGCTGTAGTTGCCGGCATCCTCCTTGCATTCTGTCTGAGTCCAGACACACCACCGTGCGTAAACATCCCAGTAGTCCATGACGTCGACGTTGTTTGAGATTTCCGGATCACTGCCTTAGAGCCCTGCAACCGTGTGCGCTCCAACAGAGCATAGACATTCAAGACGGCCTGTTCATCATACCGCTCATCCACATCGTACTCTGCAGCCAGCTCCTCAATCTGTTGCTCCAACGCTGTCAATGGTTTCATCACCTTCAAGCTTGTCTTTCCATGTAGGCGACGAGATAGACCACTAGCCGAACTTGGAACGTCACCACCACCACCACGCACATAGGGTTCGGGTACTACGACTTCCCCTAAAGGACCCAGCGATGGACTTCCCGGTTCTGAATCTCTCGTTGGTGGGTGTACTTCGCCTCCTTCGGGTACTTCTACTTCCCCTACTGGACCCGACGATGGACTTCCCGGCTCTGAATCTCTTGTTGGTGGGTGTACTTCGCCTTCTTCAACAGTCGTGAGCTTGACCTTGGTTCTCATACGCTTCACCGGCATGGGAAGAACGGCTTCAGCCTTCACTGGCTCCACCAACTCATCAACATCGACCACATTCGTCTTCATGTGCATCGTTGTGAGATAGCGTCCATTCTTATCCCGCACCACATATCCACCTCGTAGCTCAGTCGCCGGCCCAACAAACTGTCCACTATCCCACTTGTTGTTGAGATCGAATTTTCCACCTTGTCCAAACACCTTGGCTTTGATCGAGACCTCCGCTCCAAATGGGACCACACCACCAGAACGGCCCAACGCACATTCTCTCTGAGCCCATGCCGCGTGTCCCATTGCAAGCGGCCAACACGACCTTGGCAGCCCCGAGGATTGTAGCAACGTTCTGGCCCGCCGCTTCAAAGCCTTGACAACTTGCTCAGCGCGTCCATTGGACTGGGGCGTTTGGGCTTCTCCCGTCGTAGGGTACACATCTCTTTCAAGTAGCCATTTTCTGATTCCCTGACCTCGTAGCTCTCGGGCACGATCGCTATGTACTCGTTGAACTGGTAATCCTTCTGCCCGCAACTGGAGATACAGGAAGCGAATAGCCGCCTCTACCTCTGAAGCGACTCGAGTCTTCAGGGGAACCATAAAGTGCAGGTTCTGGTAGGTCACGGTATCCTTGATCTCCTTGAACAGTTTCTGGTACTCGTCATTGGCAGCATCCATCTCCTTCTGGTTCTCGCGGGTGTTCTCGGGGAACTCGTCCTTAGCCTCCTTAAAGAGATCATCATCTTCATCAAGTGGTATATTGCCAACCCCACCTTCAGGTTCATCTGGTGGCAACTCATCAGGGATCTTGTAATCCTTGAAACCAATTGTGGATGGCATGGTGTAATTGCCCACTAGCGCGTAGCGATAACCCTTTGCATCACCCGACTCGCCCTTGACTCTGAAAGGCCCAGCGAGGTCCAAAGAGAGGGTGTAACAGCTTGGCGCAATAATGCGCCGATGGCTGCGCCCCGTAGCTGCAGTCTCCACGCAGGTTCGACAGTGTCGGTTGTATGGTAAGTGGCCGTTGGCCACATGGCGTCGCCATTTTCGAAGTTCCTCCGCACTCATGGCCCCCGAACCCACCGTAGCACTCAACAGCATCAACGGTTCTGGCCTCGTCCTCCATGCAAGGATGCCCTTCACAATCATTCTGTGAAAACCAACAGACCACCCTGCAACTCTGCTTGAAGCATCCACGCCAGGGCCCCAACCTTCGTCGTCACCGCAAAGCTCCAAGTTCGTAGCCGTACAGTAGGACTCCGAAGTCCCGGTTGGAGCCACTTGACTCACAGGGATTTGATACTCCCGCTGAAAGCCCTGCCACATAGGAGTTTTCCACCATCCAGACTTTGGGTCCATGGTCATAAGCAGATAGGGACTTACCTGGCGGTGCAGTCGCGCTCCCTCCTTAGCAACCATCCACAAAAGAAGCTGTCGGGCACATAGCTCAGCGGCGTAGTTGGACGGAGGAGTACCAACCAAACCTTCAAGTTGCCCTCTGCAGGCTGCCCACATGAGTGCCCGATACATCGGGCTGTCTCCCCTCATCGAGAACCCCTTGCTCCTGTGAACATTCACATTGACATACACAACCTTGTCAGTCTCCACCATCTTGAAGTCCTGAGAAGATTCACCTTCACGCTCATACAGCTTGACCGCCCATCTCTTTGTTAGCAAGGACTTTCTCTGGGACCTCCTCATCGGCAAAGACTTGAGGTACTCACGACCCGCGCTCTCGCTCAAGTCCAAATCCACCGCCAACATAGCCCTCAAGTCGCTTCCCAAATATTGCAAAGGGGACCCTTCCGACTGCAAGGCCTGTAGCAAAGAGGTCCTTTTGCCAGTTTGCACGAACATCATAAAGAGCTCGTCCCAGTCCTTCACCTCGGTGAGAGACATGGTTCCCAGGAAAGTCTCCGCCGTGGACTCCCGAAGCTCCTGCAACTTCTTCTGCTCCAGCTGGTGAATCAGAGATAAGGCCTGGGTCTCGCCAAGGAGGGGGCAGTTCCCCTTCACCACCGTCTTCAAGGTTCCAAACTGAGGGTGGACAATCTTCAAGCCGCCACGTCTTGTCCAAGTCAAGTCACAGCCCAGCTGCTGAACCAAAGCACCCATCGGCAATATCGTAGCTGAGTCGTCGGCCTCTTCGTCCTTTGCAGTCGGCATCAGCGTTCCAGCCTGGTTCTGCTGAAGAACTATCGTTCGTCCTCCGGCTAGTTCTACACGAACGGGTACTTGAGGTAGTGGTTCATGTGGTTGCCTTTCACGGTACGCATGTGAGGCCCCAGAGTCCAGAAGAGCTAAGCGCTCCTCTTCATTGAAACCCAAGTCAGCCATCTGAGACGCGAGGCCACGTAAGCTAGTATCCGTAGACACCTGCAAAGCTTGCAATCTCGTCAGCTGGTTCAGCATCGCATTGGCCTGCTGGAGAAGGGCTGTTATCTCCTGAGTCTTTTCATCAGGAGGTGCATTGTCAAGAGTCGCACTGGCTCCTGTTCCCGGGCCCGTGGTTGGGGCTGTAGTAGCTGCGGCTGAAGTCGAAGGGGTCATTGTGGTAGCGGAGCTCAACGACTCGAGGATTGCCTGCTGGTGCTGCACCGCTGCCTGATTCAACATAGGTGCTGTCGTAGGGGCCTGACTGGCAGTTGTAGTAGCGCTCGAAGTTGTATTGTTGGGCCTGGATACAGCAGCTCCCCTGGATGGAGAGGACGCCCCTGCCTTCACTGGGCAATCCTTCTGCGTGTGTTGCACAGACCCGCAGTACCAGCACTTCAACTTCTTCGCCTCCTTGCTCGAAAGGTGTGGTCGAACTTACAAGCCTGGCCCTTCGTACATCCAGAGTCTGAGGCAAAGAACCGGCATGGTACTTTACCTCCACTTCCAGGCTGCGCTGCTCCTCCTCGCCTTGTAGGGGAGGACGTCTCACCCGTGCCCGCTCCAACTCCACCTGCGTTCATGCCCTTTAGCTTCGTGGCCTCAGTGCTCGCACTCGTAGAAGTCGTTCCCGCAGTAGATCTCGTCGGGGTAGCCTGTTGAAGCTCCGCCAAGATGTGGTCGTAGTACTTGAGCACACCATCCAACGTCGGCCTGTACTGCAACTGCAACTGGCTCTTGGACAGAGCGAGCCTGAACTTGATGTCTCCATTGGCCTCCACCGCCCTGCTCGCCAAGTTCTCCACTCCTCGCAACAGTAGTGAAGAGTCCGGGATGGACACTCGCATCTCTTCAGCTCTTTTGAGCTGCCTCCTCCACTTTCTCAACGAAGCAACAGTGTCCACTATGCTCGTGGTCCCAGGCTGTCCTTCCAGTTGTCGAAGAATGGAGGCCCTCTCTGCCGCACTGCCCGGGGCGTAGAGGATGTGCAAGCGGTAGAGCAGGCCCGGAACCGTAGTTATGCGGTGTGTCACCGCATCGTCCTTGGCCTGCTTGCGCAAAGTCCCCAGCATCAAAGTCAGCACTCGTCGCTCCAACCTGCTCCAGCGTTCTTCACATAGCTCTTCAGTCCTCGTTGGCTCCAAGGACAAACGGGTCAGTGGATCGCTGACCTGGTACAAGTCATAGGCCTCCCTCGCTGCGGCCAAGCACAAGGAAAACCATCGGGAAGCCTTGTCGCTAAGACCTCCAACTGCCTGCTCCACCTCGTAGATCCAGTCCGCGAAGAGAACAGCGCTGTCCGCCGTAAGCTCCGGCATTTCCGGAAGCTCGATGCTTCCTTTGAGCTCGGTGTCACGAGCTTCACCGCGTCCAATGTACGCCTGTTGCAACTGCCTCATCCCTTCCACCAACAAGTGAAGAGGCTCAACTTTTCCATCTCCTTGGCCTCCAACCGCTTGCCCTCGATCATATCCAGATTGTCCTTCAAACGGGACACTCCGGGCTGCCGAGGTTTGGGCAGCTCCTTGTCCAAGGCCCGGCGGCCCCTTGGTTCCGGCACCACGAAGTTCACCTCCGCCTGCTCCCAAAGGATTGCCCCGAGGTTCTCTGGAATCTCCACGCTGAGGTCCGGGATCCCCTGAAGGAACATAAGGTCCTGCCTGGGCTCCGGGTGGACTTGATCTTGTTCCACTCGGCTCTGCCCCAGCTGGTCCGTTCCCTCCACCTGAACCATAAACTCTCATCACCGAGTTGGCCTCCGCCAATGCCCTTTCCAGCTCTTCATTCCGTTGCTTGAGTGCGTGGACTTCTTGGTCCCTCCCTTGCATAGCCAGCTGAACTTGTCTTCGAACTTCATCCAAAACCATGTCTTGATTCAAACTGCTAGCCGACCCGTCCTCATCCGGCCTCCGGCGTTGAGGGCTGATGAGGGTGTCCCGCGTCTGGTGGACCTGAAAGGCTTGTTGCATTTCACCATGGAAGAGCTGCTGCTGAGGGGTTGTAGTAGGTCTCGTAGCGGTAGTAGAGGACAGGCTTCTTCCAGCATTCACAAACGGGTCTACAACTCTCCTTTGGAAGACTTCCCCAAACGACCACAACACGTTCCGTGGTCCCCCTTCAGCAGTAACTTGACTCCTTGCGGAAGCAAAGCTCTCCACAGAAGATAGCACAGGACGCCTCGGAGGATTCACATCGTCCTCAATGCCTTCCTGCTCTTGACCCGAGGTACCATAAACCAACCTTGGTCTTCGCGGAGCTGCCAACCTTAGCGCCGGCATAGTCACCGTAGGCGCCGTAGACGATTCCTGAGGTATCGGTGGCATCATTGAAGCAGTAGGCACCGAAGACATTGCAATCGGCACCTCCTGTCCAAGTACACTCGGCACAGTCTGCTGCTGCGGAGCTGACTGCGGTTCTGACTGCAGCTGCGGCAGTGCCTGGTGCTGCGTTGGTTGTAGCTGTTGAAAGGCTTGCTGCTGCACAGTCTGTGATTGCTGAGCGGCTTGCTGCTGCAGTGGTTGCGGTTGCTGAGTGGCTTGCTGCTGCAGTGGTTGTGGCTGCTGAGCGGCTTGCTGCTGCAGTGGTTGTGGCTGCTGGGGCGCTTGCTGGTTGCTACCACCCCTAGCCTCAGCACTACTAGTTAAGCCACCCAAGAAAGCCTGACCCACGGATCCGTTCGCCGTCGTTCCTTGTCCGGTGCCACGCGCATCCGTTCCGGCTTCAGTCGCAACTCGACTGCCAGCTTCACTCACAGACGAAACACCAGTTTGTACATGTGACGACTCCATATTCCGAGCTCCTCCACTCTCCACAACTGCAGACTGACGTACCGTTCTCGGCACAGTCCCATTAAGCATAGCACTTGCGCCTTGACCATTTGCATCCAAGCTGCCTTCTCGGGCATAATCAGGCCCTGAAGTCTCACCTTCCACGGTGTCAGGTCGGCCCTGGGATTGGGCGCTCATAACCTGTTGATCGCCAGATCTAGCGGAGTGCCTTTGAGGATCTTCTCTGTATCGTTCCAAGTTTATCAAGGAGACATGGCACAGCTCGCAAAGGGCTTATTTTCCGCACACAGACAACGAACTTCAGTAGCTTACGTAAGGACTGCTACTCTTGGACACTTGCAGGTCCTAGCTGTTTCCCTTACAAAAAGAGCTTCCAAGCATCAAAGGGCTACAGAAGCATCATACAAGTATGAGGAATCCACACAATACTATTTTGAGGGGTTCCTTATAATAACTCTAGTATAACACACCCCTCAAAACCCTACTTTACCGATTATAAGGCCCCTATATTACCTTAAACTCGTTGGGATGGGATCTTCAAGGAGAACATGAGTTTTCCGGACCTGAGGATCTGGAAACTCGTGTGTCTTCTTCTCAAATTCGGCTCATGCCCTAACTGTAGTCACCTTAGGATTTTGTTTATTTTGCTTCATATAAAGCCCAAGAGAGTAGTGAAACTATCATCTTTATTATGGTTCTAAGAGGTGTATAGATTATGTTTATTCCGAATCATTGGCACGAACACAACAAGATACAACAAGTGTTGTTCTGGCCATGACGGTTGTCATTGCTAATATTGGGGCCTAAATAATTACCAGTACCATTTTGGGGGCTCGTTATCATAATTATTTTTACTGTAGGCCCCAACACCCTATTACAATTGTTGAGGACACTATATTATGCCCGTTGTGATTTTTGTCAACCCTAAACCCTGCACCCTAAAGCTTCAAAACAAATTGAGCCGAGCATTACTAACCTTGCTCACGGCATAGCAGGGAAGCTTCAGGGCTCACCCTACTTGGAGGATCATGAGACTGAGTAAGTCAGGTTCCCCTAATGAGGGTTCCTTAAAGGGATCTGTAGGGTTTAGGGTTCAGGGTTTAGGGTTAGGGTCTACTTCGAGGATCATGAGATTTAGTAAGTGAGGTTAGTTACAATTGCCATATTTAACTATCACTATGTGTACCTTGTCTATAACCCTAGTTACTAAGTTCCATGATCCTCCAAGAGAACCTGGTTAGGGTTTAGAGCGTAATGTTTAGGATTTTAGGGTTTAGGTTTAGGGGTTTGGGGCTTTAGGGGTTTAGGTTTAGGAGTTTGGGTTTTCGGGTTTTGGGGTTTAAGGTTTAGGGCAGGCTGTTTTTCCGATTTTTTATCGTCTTCATGTTGGCCACAGAGGCCTATGAGACGCTGGGCCACTCCGGGCTGTAAAGGAAAGTCTCCAGGAGCTCAATGAGTCCTTCAAAACTTTGGGGACCAAACGACCCTTATACGGCCCTATACTCATATACTACGGTTGATGATATAACCCTGCATTACCCATAGTAAGGAATATACTATAACTCCCATAATCTAGGGCCATTAAGGTAATGCAGGATTTAGATCATCAACTGTATGAATCCCTAGATGGTGTATGAACGTTAAACCCTTTTTAAAGTTCATCTCGCCCTTAAGGAACCCTCTTAGAACCCTACAAGCCCCGAGCCGTAAAGCCCAAAGCCTAACTAAGCCCTAACGCCAAAGCCACCAAAAACAAACCCAAAGGGTCCAAAGCACTGAAACAGTAGAGTGTAGGGTTTCTATATTAGGAATGCTTATTATGATTTGAGACAGTATCCCCCGTAACAGTACCTAGGACTCTTTGGGGAATGCCCGGTGTCCTTTTTGTGGAGAGGACCAGACAGATGACTCCCGGCATCGAATACGACAGCAGCAGGCGCATGGCGCACCTACCAGAACACCTGAAACACAGACCGCTCATCAGGTGGAGATCGCAGCTACACCTCCTCTAAGCCCCAAAACCATATCCCAACCCTATATAACCCTAAATCTCTAAACCCCTACACCCGTGAAGCCCTAAACCCTAAAGCCCCACGTAACAAAGCCAAAGGAATCACACAGAAGTGGAGCGAGAGCGGGCTGCTAGAAATCTTTTCTGGTCTTCAACCCGACATCACATTCGTCGTACGGAAAAAACCAAGGGAGCACAAGCAAACCTCAAGATCTTGGATGAAAGTTGTAGTCAAGAGACTGGAATTATCGAGACTGATGAAGTGACGCGGTATGAATGATGCGCTAAACGCCACATTTCTGAGTATTCAGAGGCTTTGCTGGGAAGTCTGGAAGCCTGAACAATTATTACCTTACTAATACTGTTCCTAAGGTTTCCTTAAGAAAAGTATACAACTCGAAGAAAACCCCAAACCGCATTCGACCTCCCTGGCCCTTATAAGCCTTTCTAGAACCCATGGGTTTAGGGTTTAGGGTTTAGGGTTTAGGGTTTAGGGTTTAGGGCTTAGGGTTTAGGGTTTAGGGTTTAGGGTTTAGGGCTTAGGGTTTAGGGTTTAGGGTTTAGGGTATGCATGTAGGAACCCTTGGGGTTGAGGTTTAGATGATCGGAGTCCTGGCCTACAGCCCTGAAGCCCTAAACCCTAAACTCCGAACCCCGGGACCGGCGACCCGTAGAAAAGGAGTTCAAAAATAGAACTGAACCCCTAAACCCTAAACCCTAAATAAACCCTAAACCCTAAACCCTAAACCCTGAACCCCTAAACTCGTAAAGCTGCTCTCCTTGCGCAGAAAAGCCTGGACGAATTGAGCAGCCAGTCGACGATGTGCGCTCTTTGGGCGTGGGGCTTTGGCTTCTCTAAGGGTGGCAAAGGGTTGAGGGTTTGGGGTGTTCAAGAGTTTGGGGGTTCTTCAGCGTTTAGGGTTTAGGGTTCTCGCGGATTTTGGGATGTAGGCCTTTGGGGTTTGAGGGCATGAGGGCTCATGACGGTTTAGGGTGTTGAATGGTTTTAGGGCTTGCGGGTTTGGTTTGAGGGTCTTGGGGGCTTTAGGATTTCAAACTGAAAGCGGGTTTGGGGTTGAGGGTTTGGGGTCGGGGCTTTGGCTTCATTTGCAGCCTTGGATTGAGAAAACAGAGGCGTCCCTGAGAGGAGTTGAAATTCAAGATCCTATACCCTGACAAACCTACCCATAGTCTCCATAGTAGTTCCTTTGGGGGATTACTTTATGAGATCCTAAACATAAACCACAAAAAGGAACTACAATGCAGCCTCTGGGTAGACACCGAACCCTGCAAGCGAAGCCTCAACCACAAAGCCTTCATCTTCAGCCCCCTGACCGCCGAGGCCTGCATCTTCGCGATGGCGGTTGCAATATTCGTGCCCTTCTGAGCCCTTGTGCTTTTGGTGAATTGGGAGATTCGCGAGTTGACTGTATATCCTATCCCCAGAAGCCCAAACCGTGAAGCCCAGCTCTAGTGCACCAGCCACAAAGGAACTGTAAGTTCGGAGCTGTGCATCGACCATTCTGGGAGGGAACTGTGTAGGCTAGAACTTCCTAGGTGTTGGTCAGGTATAATGTTAGCTTCCTGGACCCCCGTAGTGAAATCCCAAACCTTAGCCCCCAAAAGCCCAAACCCTCCCCCAGAAAGCCCATGACGAGCCTTCGGGTAGGTACCAGTCTGATACAGATATCAGGCCAAGTGGGCTCTCAACTGCATTGCTTGTCTTTTGGGCGAAGGGGGACTTGTTATAGGTCCGTGAACTTAGTTCCCCAATACCCAACCTTTAAACTTCCTGGGTTCTTAAAGTTAAACCTTTCTGTGGTCCGTTAAGCATGCCGCAGACATATAACTCCTGCATTACCTATAATAAGGAATATGCCATAATTGCCATAGTTTGGGTTTCTTAAGGTGCAGGCCCTAAACCCTAAACCCTAAACCCTAAACCCTAAACCCTAAACCCTAAACCCTAAACCCTAGTTCACGAGGGCTTCCACAGTCAGGCTACTGTCAAGCCCAACGAGGATCCCGCGGCTAATGTAGGGGCCTTAATAATTAGAATAGGGTTTTGGGGCCCATTATACTATAATTATATTAAGGACCCCCCACCATAATATTGGTAATTATTTAAGCTCCTACATTATGTTCCAATGCCATGAGGCCTAGCTTCCATAGGCACATCAGTTTCACAGTGATGCTCACATGTAGATGTAGATGTGTTTCTGTGTCTTGGTGATGCTAAAGCATGATCAGACAGGAATACTTATAGACTTATAGATGACGGCGAAGTTTGCCATTCTATTTCATAAGCATATCGAAGTCGGCGCCAGAACGCACGGCTGGCTGAGGTGCTGCTGGTCTTCTTCTGAGAAGAGCGTAGGTTCGGAGAGCACCTGCTGGCCGCGGCCGCTGGTTTCGTCGACACAGCAGTCCAAGTAGACCCTAAACCCTATACCTTGTATATCCCTTGAAGGAGCCCTAATTGAAGGAACCCTTATTTAATTAAGGCGCCCTTACTAACCACTGATATTGGAGGAGCTAAGGAGCCAGGGACGATGATAATCCCTTCTAAATAAGGACCTAAAGAGCCAAGGGAACCCCCAAACCACTGGTTAGAGAACCCTAAGACTCCAAGTATACAAATACCCATATGCCTCAGAGTAGCTCCTTTTTGGGATTACTTTATAGATTTCTAAGTGGGAACCCCGGAAAAGGAACTACTTTGGGGGGGCCATGGGGTCGTACCCACTTCGGGGTCTAAGGTCCATACATGCGCGCTGTTTGGAGCCTTAGGGCCTTTGGGGAAGAAGTACAGTTTTAAGGTTGCTTGGGTTGCAGTAGAAGCCAGAAAGTTGGAATATCATTATCGTATAACCCCTTTAAGGTAAGTTATAGGGGATCCTACCATTAATCCATATTCCAACTTTCTGGAGTTCCCTTTAAGGGGCTTAGGCTTCGGGGCTTGGAGCAAGTTAGGGTGTAGATAGGGTTTAGGTGCTGGGGTGCAGGGGTTCATCGTTATAGGGCTTTAGGGTTTAGGGTTTAGGGGTTTAGGGTTTAGGTTATAGGGTGCAGGGGGTAGGGTGATGGTGCAGCATCTGTCAATGTGCTTCAGGAATGCTCTCGGTTGGATACTCACTCTGCATCTTTGCTTGGGGTCCCTGAGTTGATCATGACTATCACGATTTCCCATGTGACCCAATCTACACTATCTACGCCATACACAACCCTGAACCCCAAGCCCTAAACGCTGAACCCTCTAGCCTCGAATCATAAGAACCTACAAGAAGGGCCCGTGCAAGTTCTATTATATTGGGGTTTAGAACAATTACAAGAGCCAACAGCGGCAAGGCATGGCAGTTTAGTAATCTTTCACCTCGAACCACATATCCAGGAAAGCCGAAAGCTTTCGAGTTTTCAGCCTCAGCAGCCATTGGGTTCAGGGTTTGTTAGGGTAGGGCCAAGGAGTAAACATACAGCCCGTGACGACGAAGCCTGCTGCAAACGACGGCGCGAAGCCAGCAGGGCGTGCAGTTCGTATCTCTGTCCCCTAGCACCGAAAACAGAAAGCGACCAGTTTCTCTTCAATGTAGTTCCTGTTTTGGCTACTGCCTTATATTTAGGATACTATGAGGTAACCCAAAAAGGACTTTACAATGAATGCTATGGTTTAGTGTTTATTGTTTGGGGTTCTGGGTTTAGGCTTTAAGGGCTGGCTGTGCAAGACTTTTGCCAAGCCAACCCTTCAATATTGCCGGTGGATTCCCTTCGAAGAAACATATCAAGTCGGAGAAGTTCCTTCATGGTCACCTATATAATAGGTATACTTCCTTATACACCAAAACCCTGTTGTCTTCATCAAGACCTTTGCAGTAGTTGAAGGCCAGCTGGTATGAGATTCTTTTTGGGCGCCTGATTTTCACGCGGTGACTTGGGACCTTGCATGCAAGTATTTCTGGTTTTGGGTCTGGGTATGGGGTTTAGGGGTTTAGGGGTTCAGGGTTTTAGGGTTTAGGGGTTTAGGGGTTGAGGTTTCAGGGGTTCAGGGTTTAGGGCTTTAGGGGTTCAGGGTTTAGGGTTTGGGGGGTTTAGGGGTTTAGGTTGGGGAATTCGGGCTTTAGGGCTTTAGGTTGGGAGATCAGGGGAGATCAGGGCTTTGCACATCCGCCCCGATGCCAGGAACCTCTTGGCTAAAATTCGGTGTAGTGCCGGACTCACTATCCCATGGGGTCCTAGGTACTGTTATGGGGGGTACCATAAGGGTTTCCTTTGAAGGATCTATAGGGGTCCCTATAAGGATTCCTTTAAGGATCTATGGTACTGTTGTGGGGGATACCTTCCCAAATCATAATGGTAACGCCTACAAAACAGACCCTACACTCGACTATGTAGGTACTTAGGACAAGTCCTAAGCACCAACACCGTTGACTTATTGAGAAGCCTAAACCGAAACCCTGAACTTAAACCCTGAAGCGACTCGCTGAGCAGTTTAAGCCCTGACCTCGGCCGACTCTAATCACGAAGCCAACCCTAAATCCTAAACCCTAAACCATAAACCCCTACAGCCTGAACATCCCGGTTCGAAGGCAACCTACGCACTAGGCCCTACAGCCTAGCCTCGACTACACAGTTCTTCCAAATGCCTGAACATCTAGGATGCCCAGTAGTACCCTTATTCCCTTTTTGTAGTCCTAGGTTCCTTATCAAGTTACCCAATACCAAAAAGAGAGGCCTTTTTATTCTTAGGTCACTGGGTATCCTAGACATTGAGCACCCCAAACCCTAAACCCTCCGATGGCGGAAGCAGATGGCCTCATCGTGACTGCACGAGTCGCTTGCAGCGGGGAGCTACTCACTGAGGTGCGCAGAGCGTCCAGGGTTCAGGATTTAGGGTTTGGGGTTCAGGGGTTCAGGGGTTTAGTGTTTAGGGTTCAGGGGTTCAGGGTTAAAGAGGGGTTTAGGGGTTTAGGGTTTAGAGTTTAGGGTTTAGGAGGCTCAGCCTTCAGCACTCAGGAGGTGCCTCAACCATAAACTCCTGGATCCTCATAATGCAGAACCGCACCCACCGGCAGCTTAAACCCCACTCCCTAAACCCTGAACCTCGGACCCCTAGCCCCAATCCCCGAACCCTGAAACCCAAAGCCCTACGCTCCTATGACTATGACCCTAAAAAGCCTGAGGGGAAGAACAAAACTTTTGGCGCTATGTTTTCGGCCTACACTAAAAGTTTGATCTTTATTGGGCCTGGCTATTGAAGAAGAGAGTCACTCTAAACCCTCCACCTTGCCACCCTGAAGCCCTGAACCCGAAACCCTGAACTCCTTTTCCCTACGACTGCAAGTATACAAATTATAAATAATACCTACTTGGCGATCTGAAATCTATAAATGGTATCCACTTTGGGTTATTTAGAGTTTTAGGTATTTCCTGGGGGCCTTATACTGTAAGTATAATACGGAACCCCCAAATAGCATCGGTAATTGTCAAGCCCCCTTTTTTTGGCGACCTCCAGGTTCGGAGTCAGCCAGGGGCGACCATCGCGACCTTGCGCGATGCCATCGCTGCCGTGGCTTGGAGAGACTGGAATAATCTGCAGTTTGCCGAAACTGAGGGGTACCTTATTCAGGGGTTCTCATAATAAGGATCCTGTTGCTTACTATATTAGGATCCCCTATTTTCGGAAACTCCCATCTAGAACGAGACAAAGAAACCCAGGCCCTATAACTGCAGCATATTAGGATTCACAAAGAGAACCCTGACTTGAATACCAAGTTCCTCATAGGCACCTCTTGTTTGTGTTGGGGGCAACCTTATCAAAACCGAATGATAGAAAGAAGGGTACCGTTGTTATATGAAGGCGCGGCAATAGGGGAACCTAGGATAGCTCGTGTTAGCTCTCAGAGGCCAGTGGCTTCCTGTAACCGTCTTCGAAAGGGCTCCTTCGAGACAAGGTAGGCATTTGAGGCATTATATATGTTCATGTCTTTCGTCAATGTGGAGGAATTGGCTTTGAACATGCGGACCTACTCAGGATTTAGGGCTCATGCGGTTTGGGGCTTGTGGCTAATCTATGGGTTGAGGGCTTTGGATTTACGGGCTGAGGGTGTTGAAGTTTAGGTGTTAGTTGTGGGATTTTGGCGATCGGGGATTCGGCAATGGCTTCTTCAAGGCTTTAAGAGGCCACAGGGTCCTAGGTTGTTATGGGGGAGATACTTCCCATAAATCATAGCAGTAATTCCTAACATAGACAGCACTGCACGACATGACTATCGCCCACCCCGTCGTCGGAAGTCCACGACCTAGACCATGCCCTCAGAGGGCTGATATGGGGTGGCTAGCAGTGGTTTATGCTG